TAGAGAAAGGACACTAACGGCGAAGAGAGTGAAAAGAGAAAGAAAATAGGTGTTCAGAAAGGGTTAGGAGCAAGTTCAAGATTTTTTAAAGGATTTTTTACGAATTTTTTCTGGAAATTTTTGAAAAATTTTTAGATTTCGATTGAATTTTTCGATGAAGTTTGAATTTTTCGACTATTTTTTCGATCAAATTTGAATTTTTCGACTAGCTTCCTCAGTTTTCGACCACTATTTCCAGAAAATTGATTAACTTTTCGGTGAACTTTCAACGAAAAACTCAAATTTTGATGAAAATTTTTAGAATCCAACGAGATTCAACTGGAGTTCTTCATTGGTTTAAAGAGAAAGGAAAGGAAAAGAAGGGAAGAGAGAAAGAAGGAAGGATCAGTCTGCTGAAAAAATAGAAGGGATAACCTTTTATACCTACTGAAAACGACGTCGTTTTGGTGTTACTGTACCCAGAGGATCCACGCATTTTGAAATCGGGCGACTCGACCCAAGCGTCAACCCGTTTTCGACCAGCGTTCAACCCGAGTGCGAGCCGTTTCCAAAGCTGAGCCAAGCCGAGCCGCGTCTCCAAGCCGTTTTTCTTTCTCAAGCCGAACCGTTAAGCCGAGCCATTCCCAAGTTTTTTTTTCATTTATTTATTTATTTATTTATTATTATTATTATTATTATTATTATTATTAGATTAGAATTGTTTAATACTTTTTATTTTTATTTTATTTTCTTTAAATAAAATTCAAAAAAATATTTTTAAGGAAAATTGAAAGTATCAATTTTCCTTGAAAATAAGCTTTCTAAAAAAATATTTTTTAGAAAAAGTTGAAAGTATCAATTTTCTTTGAAAATAAGCTTTCTAAAAAATATTTTTGGGAAAAAGTTAAAAGTATCAATTTTTTCTAAAAATAAGTTTTCAAAAATGAATTTTTGAGAAAAAGTTGAAAGTATCAATTTTTCTTGTACAAAAGCAATCATTTTTTTTTATTTTCTTGAATTTTCTTTAATATTAAATAATCCGATGATGAAGCCTCTGCAAGTGAAACAATAGTTTTTTGCATATTCTTGAGGTGAGGGAATTTTTTTAATTTTTTACTAAAAGTATTAGAGTCAATTGAGAATAATTTTCAATAATTAATCACTTGGTAAATTTTTAAAGCTTATTGGATAATAGAAAATTAAACTGATACCATCTTTCGATAGGCGTTGTGAGGGTGCTATAACCTTCTTCATACATAATCGAACTCTCGAACTCTATTCTAGTTAGTAGACCTGTATCTATTTTTTAGAGATCCTTAAATTTAAGTGTTCTTTGAAGGGATAGATTTCTTAGATAATTAATCGCACTTAGATAAAAAAAATTAATGACAACTCTTTTAAATCAATATCTAACGATGAATCTTCGAATCTAAACATTACGACAATCTTAATTCCATCGACAGATGTTGTTGGCATGAGGTACTTGGTGCTCTTTCTTAATTGGACAGTGAAAAAGAATCTTGATGTTGTAAATTTTAATGAGCTTTTATTCCTCACCAATGCAACCTTAATTATTGGATGGTAATTATTGTACTGAAGGAACAATTATTCAAACTTCAAGGTTGTTTTCTACTTGACAAAAATTTAGTCCCTTGCGTCACATTGCAGAAATTTTTTTGAAGTGATCGATGCATCGATTAGTTTTGGTCATAAGCCGTGTTATTTTCGTTTTCTTCTAGATTGTGCCATTTTTAAGCAAATGATTTTGATTTGTTCAATTTTTTTTTTTTTTTAGAATTTCAATATATAACTCATTGTCATTCTTATTTTGATTTTTTTACAAAATTTTTAATTTATTTTTAAATCTCATCTAACTTATTAAATATTTAACTGAAAAAAATATTACGTGTCTAAATTTTTAAATATTAATTTTAATGATATATAAACTAATGCAATGAAAAATCGACATTTCTGTTTTGATTTTTAATATTAAGAATAAGTTGACATTTGCATTTCTTTTAAAAAAAAAAAAAACTATTTGACGTCCGCATTTTACTCTTACAACTCATATTCACTTTCTTGTTCTTTTATTATCCTCTAAAGTAAACTCAAGTCACCTATTACCCCAAAGTCAATTATCCTTGTTCTTCCATTTGGTAATCTTTTTCTGTTTATATGTGAATTAAATTTGATTTTGACAAATGCCCAAAACACTCCGACTTCAAAGTCTAAGTTTGGTGGTGCAATAATAGGAGGATTGCTTGCTTGTTTTTCTCTTAAGCCGCAACTTTGATGTTCTCTTCCAGGAGGCAGATTTGTCTTCTTCACTCAATCATAGCTGGGTGCTTATGAAATGAGCCTTCTCCAAGCGGGGGTTCACTGTGATTCGCCAATTAATTTCTTCACTTTCTTCTCGGACCAGGTCAGGATTCTTTGATCACTTATTCACCATAATCATGACATATTTTGAAATTTGAAAGTTGGTAGAGTTGGAGACGCCATTCACTTTCTTTTCACAGCTCAAGCCTTAAAAAGAGAAAAAAAAAATCAAAGAGATATAAACCAATATGAAGGATGAAAGTGACCCTTGCATTGACGAAGTATGGTAAAGAGATTGCCTTACTAAAAAACTTTTAAAAATGTGTGTTTGCTAGGTTGTTTTCACACGCACGAATTTGTTTACTTTATATGAAAAAAAATATTTATGATCTTTAAATTGGTTGAACTAATTAATGGTAAATTGATCAACAATCAAATGTCAACAAAAACTATAAAATCCACGTCAAATGTAAATATTCAAGTATCCTTTGGAGGCAATGTCAAAACGTTGACCTACAAAATTTTACCTAATATTCAGATAAGAATCTTTTAATTCCCATTAGAGTCAGAGGTTTATGGTATTATATATATTCTTTTTAATTTTAGCATTTTTTAGTTTTTGTATGAAAAAGTGTGAGCTCCACGTAATACATATAACTTTAAATTTTAATTAATTAAGTATAATATAATTATTTAGGCGATATACTTCTTAACAAATAGAGAAAGCAATAAAGATGAATTCTTTGGTTTCAATGACCACCAACGTAGGATCGTACTTAGTGTGAAATATACAAGCTACAAAGGCCACGTTACCATCACTTTCACAGTCACAGAATCATGTATATGAGCATCTTTGACATTTTGGTTTAGATAGAATTCGTTCGAATGGATGGATATTGATTTCTGACCATCCCATGAACGGTTATTGATAAGACTGACCACTCTTACAGAAAATGACCTCTCTGGAAAAATGTTCTTCGCTGGTGTGTTGGGTATATATGGTATTGTATCATGCAAGTTGAATAGAATATACTAGGTGAAGACTGAACTTTTACACACTGTACCATGCAATAGTTGAATAAAATGTACTAGGTGAAGACTGAACAAGTGTTCTCCCTTGTGAGTTGAATAGAAAACAGCAGGTTTGAAATGATAATATACTCAGCTACATGACAAAGCAAAAACATAATCCTCTCAAGAGTATCTCTGCTTGTAGATGGTCTTCTGGGTTTGATGATTGGATGCTTGCTGGAAAGCTGGTCATGGTTGATTTGGAAGATGCAATCAGTAATTCAGCCATCTGATAATCAGCTTTCCGACAAGCACCCAGTCTCCAAACCCAAAATGTGTGGGTTTTTTTTTTTGTTGAAAAGCCTGAACTAGCTCACGTGATATATGTTGATCTATGGAACATCAGTAACTATACACTTTATAAACTAGGAATTATATTGGTCAATTGTTGACAAGTAGAAATCTTAGATATTGTAGGTCCCCAGAAAATGATAATTCAGCAGCACTGGTCAGAAGTGACTGATGAATAATGATGAGAAGATGTCAATTATTGCTTGCTTCCTCTCGTCTCATAGTCCTTACATTTGTTCTCTGAGAGTTTCTTCTTCACTTCCCCATCTTCCAGCTCGCATTTTAGTTTAGTATAATGGCCAGGTGGGGTCCCTTGGACAAGCAGGAGCTGATAGGGGGAAAAAAAGAGTAAAATAAGGAAGAGATCATCATATACGATAACACTATCATGCCAAAAAGTTTTCCTATTGATTGTAGTAGTGCTTCTATTATTGTCCAAAAAGATATTTTTAGAAATCAAATACTACTATTATATAAAACTAATACAATATGAGTACTTTTATAACAATGAAACAATGGAGAAAGTGCGGAATCAGCTGGCACTCGATCTTATTATTGTCATGAACGGAATCATATCAAAAAGTTGTCATATTTATTGTAGTATACGTACTTCTGTTATTGTCCAAAAGATATTATAAACATAAAATAAGTTAAAATATTTAAATATAGAAGTTTATAAATTATTAAATGATGTCAGCCGATAAGAAACATTAAAAAAAAAAAAAAAAAACCATCTCCCTGCTTGGCCTATCCTTTAATCGGCTCCACTTCTCTTAGAGAGTGGAATAACCTTGACATCTTTACCAAAATAAACCAATCCCAATCGGAAGTCGGAAACTGACTTTTGATTCAGTTGACATCACAATTACCAAATTAGAAGCGTAGGGTGCATTTTAGTAAATTTGTACAACCGACGTAGGGGTTGGGTATGGACGGTAGCTTGATTAGCATGGTAATATATACATGGAGCAAACTGGAATGCATAGGTGTGCGGTTCTACAATGTTTTCTAACCCCGTCGGTGCCGCAATGGCATGCTTAGCAATTTTGGTCGGTGCCTAGGGTATTGTTGTCACTTTATTTCCGGACAGGTGATACCCGTCCCCACGAATAAAACAACCTTCACCTTTTCAACCCCGCCATTAATCCACATTAATTATTGTAATTAGCTTTTTTGAATTGCTAATCTTCATGCTGTATTAAAATAAATTATTGTCTTTTCTTTTCTTATTTCAATTTGAAGAGTTCCAGTTTTCCTCTGTTGCGAGCAAATTTAAAGTAAAAATACAAAAGCATGTTGCATCAAGGCCATGTTAGATTCTATTGTTTTTGTTACAAAAAGAATTTAATTAGATTGTGCTCGCCCCGCAATTGGCGGGGAAATACAAGTAACTATTTACACCGAAATTTTATCAGTGTCCGTAGGTTATGCACGGAAATCACAGGTCTTTTAGCCCATTTTTAGTTTTTCTTTTAGTTTTCAAAGTTTTCTGATTTTACGCCGGGGTCTTTTCTCGGTTATGGTTGTTGAGGACCCTCCGTACGGTCGCTCTGAATGGACAAGTGGAGCTTACAAATCCATGGACCAAATGGAGGTATGTCTTGAGGTCGTGACACGTGGCCACATTGATACTGTTAAGGTATGGAGAGTCTCTGCTACGGAGCCTGAGTTCTCTACCCACCTCTGCATAAACCCACTGCGTCTCCTCGACTAGCTTTTGGATCCAGCTAGGCAAACCCGTCACGTAGACATTTCGATTTTTGCGCACGTCGACTTCTTCCTCAAGTACGAAACCAGGTACCTTAGTTATCAGATCATCAGAGTTCACTATTCTTAACACTTTTGTCCCTTGTTTTTCCAGCTGGCAGCGGAAACTCCGGTTTCCGACACGTGGACCTCCAAAGGACATGACAGTCACCATTGGAGAACGTTTAAAGGTGGTTTTAATGTCATAAGCTGTGAGCGTAGCCAGAGCCGCACCAAGACTGTGTCCTGTGATGGTTAAGCTAAGGGGCTCATCGCCGTAAGTTTGGAGTAATCTCGAGATCTCTTCACGGACCATTTCTTGTAGACTCGGTGACTCGACGGTTCCTGAAGTGTAAAGACTCAAGAACCCACTTTCCACCATTGGTTCGGAACCGTCAGGGCCAGGTTTAGAGTCAGCATTGGGGAGGGGAGTGAGGCTAGCGCGTAAATTTTCCAGCCATTCAAGGCAAGTAGCGGTGCCTCTAAAAGCAATCACCACGTCTCTTCTGCCGAGCCTGGCTATTTCCTCTTTCTCTTGACAGACAGCCACGTAACCAATCCAGCTGGATTGAGTTGCCACCCAACTTGGTGCTTTTTCAACCCAACGTGGCAACAGTATTCCTGATGTGGCACGTAAATTTCTGGTTAGGCGATAACCGGTTTCGGGTAGCCCCGAACGGTCAAGCAATGTGCTTTTGGGATAGCGGCATGTTCCATATGTTGGCGAGGAGGAGTCAAAGTCAAAAGACCTATATGCAGCTTCAACAAAATAACCGTATCGAAGAATTTCACCTCGCAATTTTTCGTCTAATGGATCAAGCAGACCTTCCCAGTTGTGGATTCCCTGGTATTCCTTCCATCTGTCGCCCAATTTAACGGCTTTAGAAGTGAAAAGGGAGGCTGCTGGTTCGTAGTCCAAAGGGCCGAGCAGATGTTCCCAGCTCTTGACCCGTTGGTCATTTATAGACTTTTTGAGTGGTCTGACTACCGTCTGAGTGAGGCCGCAACAGCAGATTGAAATGTGATTGTTGCGTTTGCGGGTGTGTGTGGTTGTTGCGAAAAATGTGCATGGCCTTGCCGGTTTCACGGAGAGATTCATTTTCCTTTGTCTTACTATGTTTGCTTACACTACCAAAGGCTTAATTTTAAGCTGGAATGAGTGCAGGGTTGCGAGATTTCAGACAAGGATAATGAAGATAATGTGGAGAGTAAGAGAGAACCAAAGGGAGATGATAGAAATTCTCAAATGCTGCTGCTGGTGCTCAGCTGCGTTCACAGAGTCTTGGAGAAGGGGATTTTATAGTGAGAAAAAGTTAACGAAGGAAAGAGAGAGAGCCTTATGGCCCTTTAACGTGGAGAAACGAGGACAGGGAGGAGAGAGAGAAGAAGAAATCTCGGGATAAAGTATGGTACTTTTTTTTATGACGAGAGGGAGAGATGTTTCAGGGAAATGGAGATTAGTAGGAAGACAGTGTAGAGAGTATATTGGAAAAATTAGGTACATACGGTTGGTGCGGATAAGAGCTATAACTGGAAAGTCTGCACGGGGTTTCATTAGTTTACTTAATAAATGGACGATCAGATGATGAGATGGAAGTATGATAGCGGGGTCCCAATCTAATCTAATGCTCCATCTTCATTCCAGCAGGATACTTTGACTCAGCCGAAATACTTCCGCTTACAACACGACATATCCCAGTTTCCAACCGTATTGTTCTGGGCTGACACGTGTTTTGCCTCAGCCTCAGCTCCGCTCACCTTTCATTAGCTTGGCTTAAGTTGTTTTAATTGGCGGTTAAAAACAACAAAGAGTATCCGCGGGAAAAACTTAAATGAACTGTTTTAGTTGAAGTTTATAAAATGTTTTATTAGAAATAATTAAATTAAAAATTAAAATTGATAAATTGAAATTTTTTGTTATATAAATAAATTGTTTAAAATTTTAATAAATTTTGATATATATATTTTGATATAGATAATTTTAATAAAAATTTAATAAAATTTTTTCGTTAAATAAGTATAAATTAAATTTGAATTATAAATAATATTTTTATTAATTTTTTATATATTATTGATTTTTATATTAAACTTTATTAATCTATCAATTTAAATTTTTTATTAAATTACTTTTAAAAAATTCACAAATTTCATCTAAACATATTTATATAAATTTTATCCGACTCACCGTATAGCCACGAGCATTGATGAGACAAACGAGGTAGCAAAACATTGGTCTTTCGTAAAATCTTATTGTCACTTTACGTCAAGGGAATCGAAATGAGCCAATGGAGGTATAATATTACATTAATAACCCATACTTCAAAATGAGCGCATTTGCCATAGTGCACGTTTCAATTCTCCAAATTCCTTTTTCTCTCCAAGTGTTTTCCAGCCTTTCTAATTTTCTCAACCTTCCGAGGATCCTAGGTTCGATCATGGATGGGATTGAACACTGGTGAGTTGAATTGTCCTCTTAAGGAGAGTTCTTGTTTGTGCTGTGAAATTGACAAATAAGTTTGCATGGTGAATTTTGGAAGATGTCGCATCTTTAAACGGGTTATGACCAAACATTTTGCCTGGCCGATTGCTGACCAACAAAAGTTAACATATGATTTTTCGATGTGCTGTTAGAAAAAATAAATAAGAAAAAAGAAATACTAGAAAATAATTTTAGTTTTGAGATGTGAAAAATATTTTCTTAGAGACAATTATGTCTTTCGGATACAACAAAGCTTCAAATCTTCAATTAGAAGCGGTGAAAATGGTTATACTGAAAGATTTATTTATAATGAATGAACAGACATAATTTTTATTCAAATAATTATGACCTTCTATATAATCATAACTTCTATGAATAATCATTTATTTATATTTAAATAGTTATGACCATTTGTCATATGATAATTGTTTATGTTCAAACATAATTATTTAAAATATAAATAAAATTAATACAAAAATTAATTTTATTTATCAATAATTAAATCTTTTTATCCAATGTATGATACACCACATTCTAAACTACCAACAATCTCCACTAGTTTGGAATATTGGTGCTTAATTTTTACCTTTCACATAAATAAATATTATGAACATAAGAAAATATCTCTCGATTTAAATATTCAATTAGCATATATATCTTAGAATTCTAACGAAGTTGATAGTGTCCGCAAATTAAACCTCAACTTCTAATATTAAAATTGAAGATATAACATATATAATATTTATTTATTTTTCTGTCAGAGGTTTATAACTACTTTTAGCATTGTGATGGTCATGTGCTTATCTTATTCATAAACATTTACAAGAGATACCCTAATTCTTATTATTGAAGCAACACTTTTATGTTTATATAAGTAGAGTTTCTATTATATCTCCATTGCTTTAGAAATTTAAAACTCCATTAAGAGTGCAAAAACTCATCATTTGAATAGATTTTACTAGTGCTTAATAGACACATAATAATAACTTATTTTGACTCATTAAACTTTATAATTAAAGGTCATTAATTCAAAGTTGGGTTTCTATTATTGGTGTCTAATAGTAAGGGTTTAAATCTATTCTGCTTGTAATACTACTAACCAAATATTTTAGAATTTAATTTTTCTTTTATGATAATTACCCCTACTTGAGATTAAATCTCTAATGTAATCACTTCAGGCTAATATCTCTAAACTTTTTATTTTTCATATCATTTATATGCTCCAAATATTATTGCATCATTCTAATCATTTTAAGAAATAATTGATTTTGGTTGTGGCCACAACTCTATATTTATTAATTTGAACCATTTTATTTTTATTATTTTATATATTTTTAATACAATTATACTTCTAGTATAATTGGATAAACTCAACAAATAAACCAAACGATTTTGGTCCATTTAAGATTTTTAAGGATCTTTTTATGACTTTAATTTAATAAGTGTTTGAACTTATTAACTTGTATAATTTGCTCATAAAATTATACTAATATCTTACAATCCTATAGTAACAATTTTTATTTCTTTTGATTCTTATCACCCCCACCATGTGTAAGTATGTATAGTTTTATTAAAGAATATCTCATTCAATTTTTAAGATATCATATATACTTAAACAAGTTACCATTTCATTTATTTTTTTCACTATTTGATATTTTTTCAAGTAAAAAGCCTCCAAATCCACCCTTAATGAAAGATAACTAGCAAATATCTTAATATTTCTATAAAAGTTTAAAAACTTTTTATATTTTAACTTAACATAAGAGTTTACATCAATAAGCATATTTCAAATATAATTATGCTTTTATAGTCTCCTTTTAAAACTTTTTATGTCAATTCATAAATATTTATATGAATCGATTTCATCATGGATACTATTAATAATTTTTTATTACAATGAACAAAACCATTTTCATCACCTAAATGGATCAAATAGCATTCTTTTTGCTATTAGAAAGGTTTTCAAATTCACAGTATCTTTGAATTACTCATGGCTTCTAAAGTAAATATACTTTGAAATTTTTACTATATAAAATCATAGATGATAAATCATTTGTACAATCCATGAAGTAAACTATATACATAACAAAAATTACCACAACATGATCAAGATTGTGGCATCAATTTTGGCTTATGGCTATTCTAAGCCAACTATAATAATCCACCATATACCTATAAATTATATAGATTTGGCTATTAAAGTTATCTCATTTATAATGATAGCTTTTGGTGAAAATCAACTATCTCAAATGTTATCATAAGTTTCTAAAGCATATATTAATTGCCTAGTGGCCAATTACAAATTCATGACTGTTGAAACCTTTAAACATTGTAGACATCAAATTTGTCCCAAAAAATAAAAAAAATAATATTATTAAATATAAAATATGAAATACAAAAAAATACCAAAAATAATATAAAATACAAAACAAAAAATACAAAAAAATAGAACAGAAAACAAAAAAAATTGAGGATGGCAGTGGTGCCTTCCCCGGCACCACTGCCACCATGCCTTACACCCATCCCTCACCATGCCTTACCCCTCACCCCTTTGATCACCTAACCCTACCACTGACAGATGTTGCCAAAAAAAAATAAAAAAGGCATGAGGGTCGTGTTTGCACCCCCATGCCTAGCCCTGTGCCATTCTCTTGGGCACGGGGCACTGCCGGAGCTCTATAAATAGAGCTCCTGATCGATCAAAGAGAGGAAAAAAATGAAAGAAAAAATTTTACAAAAAAAAAACAAAAAAAAATAAGTCCTCCTCGTAGGGAAGAACCCAGCATCGTGCTTCCTGCACGAAAAAAAAATGAGTCAGTTTAAAAAAAAGGGTCAGAATACAAAAAAAATAGTCTCACCAAAACTTTGAAAGTAGATCTAGGGAAGTGAGGATCCTTTTTGATGAAAATGAGGTTGGATTTGTGTTAAAAGGTCGAAAGAAGTTTGTGGGTGTTTTTAAAAATTTTTTGGGACCGTCGACGGTGGCTGGAGTTCGCACTAGCGAAGACTACTGTGGCCGTCGCGACGGATGGCCACCGACCCTAGGTCAGCTAAAAAAAAGAGAAAAAAGAAGGTTTTTTCGGTAAAAAGGAAGAAAAATGACTGAAAAAAATTTGAACCTTTTATATAAACGATGAAAACCAAAATGACGTCGTTTCAATAAAGCCAAAAACGACGTCGTTTTAAGCACCCAAGATCCACGCATCAACCCGCGACCCGACCCACGACCCGTTTCTCCATCAGCTTCTGATCGGTCTGACTAGATCGAAGCCAAATCGTTGAACCCGAATCGAACTGATACCGAACCGTTGAACCATCCAGACCAAGCTGAACCGTCGAACCGAACCTCGCGTTGATTGGACCGTTGATCGGTCCAGTTCAGGTAAAATTTTTTTCCTTTTTTTTATTTTTTATATATTATTTTATTAATATTTATGCATTTTAAAATATTTATATTTGTTAGATTAAATGATGAAATATGTAATTAATTTTTTTTATAATTTTGTTAATTTTTAAAATAAACTTTAAGAACAAAATAATATAAAAATAAATTTAATAATAATACTAAAGTAATAAAAAATGAGAGAAAAGGAAATTTTTATCCAACGATGAGATTAAAAGGTATTCCGATAGTGATACCTAAGAAATCTCTAGGTGAGAAGATTTTTTTAAAATATTATCAGTGTATTGGAGTATTTATAAAAAAAATTTCAATAAATTTTTTTTTCTTTTTTGGTTATAAAATAATAATAAATAAGAACTAATTAATAAATTATATAAGTAATAAAAATGAGAAGAAAAGAAATTTTATCCAATGATGGGATTCTAAAAATATTTCGAGTAGAGATGCTTTAAAAATCTCTAGGTGAGAAGATTTTTTTGTAAAATATTACCAGTGTATTGGAATATTTATAGAAAATCTTCAATATAATGAAAATTTCATTTTTCTTCAAAATTTTAA